CAAACCCAGGCTCCTCCCATGTCACTAGTGTTCTTGGGCTAGCCACATCACCCTCCTCCCTGGTGGTCAGAGGGACCGGTGGCATAGATTGTGGCAGCCTCACTTCTGTGTGCCCCAAGGCAGCTGGCTGCAGTTACATTGTAATCACCATCAGTGTGTGAAATGACCAGTGTAAAAGGCTTTGGAGACCCTGACTTAGAAAAGTGCTATTCCAAAATGCAATATGCGTAAGACGAAAACCTGTAAAATATCATTAGGGTTGCTATAGTATGTGTACTCCCTGACTTTGCCTTGGCAGACGTCAGTAGAGGAAATGAGTTCCCAGATGAAACTATGGCCCCATTTTTTGCTGAACAACATGAAACAGTTTCTAAAAACATTTGTCCTATAACGCTGTCCTAGAATCATCCCACTCTGTTCTTGGTTGGTTTCACCAACATGGCTGTACAGTGCTCCTATTGAGAACCACTTTGGTAAATTGGATTTAGCCCCAACCCAACCATTACCACTCCCCAAACATTAGCACTAGCTTTTAGTGTATGAAAACAATGTCACCGTAGTCCAGCACTCACAGAGTGTGACTGGCCATTCACATGTTCCAAATCTTCCAAATTGGTCTCTAATTTGACTGGACAGGTCCACCGTTGGGTCACCAACCAGAACAGTGATGTATTTTATCCGGAATAAAGCTGAAATCAATTTCCACTGGTCTCTTTTCATGGTGGTGGGGGTTGAATGGCGCACTGTTCGTGCCCAGGCAAGCACTCACTCCACTCCTTTGTCCTTTCCCTTTCCTGAGCATTTTGTCTCTCACTGAAACAATAACAGCATTTCAACGTGTGAGGCCAGGTTTTAAAACCCCAACGGCTCCCCAAGCACTTAACGCAAGTTAGCTGGTAAATCAATCTTAGGTTGATCAGTGGGCGTGTTGTATTGTTAAAAAATCAAGCGTTGCCTTGGGATAAATCCAGATTTTCCAATCCCATTTATTATTTTTTTATTGTCGATTTCCAAACTTGTTGCAATCATTTAGCCTGCCCTATTTCCCTCCATATATTATGTCTGCACATGGTTCAAAACGCCCAACTGAGCTCTTTTTATATTTTTCAGGTTCCAAGATGGTTAAATTGTATTTGACGGTGTGGAAGGTTGAGCATGAAACACAGAAGGAGCCAATGGAAACCAACACAGTCTCTTTCAAACTTTGTGCTATTGTAATTAAATTACAGTACCACCAAGGAGGTTTGAAGTCTGCTGTCGAATGGCTTGTTACAACTCACTGCTTTGCGTAATGGTGTTTTCTTTGCTCTGGAAATGAAATATAATATCATTAAATAGAGACATGTAGAATGAAGTGTCAACAGATCCATCTTGGGTGCCTGGCTCAATCTGTTTGTGGATGCTCCCCAGTGACAGATCCAGCTCATCATTGAAACATCCTGCTCATGGAAATCTGGGGATTTGACTCATCAAACATTCTATTGATTTATGGTTGTTAATATGAAGAGACGCAGGAACACATATGGGATATAGAATGAAGAGGTTGAGGAGTAGGGGGCATGTGGATAGCCAAAAAAGTCTCTATGTAATCCATGTGCAAATGTTTTTACTTGATATATTCACACCTGTTTATAAATAAAATTATACCCAAACACATCCATCAGCCATAACAGAAACTATAGACGATGAAAGCAAGATTCGTCCGTGTTTGCACCAACCCTGAGTTAGTATTCGCAACAGTAGTGCCGCTTTTAGCTTTGGAGCGTAGGTAACGGTGACTGAGAAAAGACGAGGCAATAAAGAAAAGCTTTGATGTTGTCATGCATGATTGTGTGGAGACATCCGCAGGCTTGTGTCGAGGGTGTTGATTTAGTGACTGCTGTAGAAATGAGAATACAGATGGCTTCTGGTGCTATTAGGGTCTGGGGCTCTGAGAATAAGCAACGTCTTCTACATCTATTATCTTGGGTGACACTTCAAATACTTCAGACATGAGCATCAGATTTCATTTCACAAGTATGGCGACACGCCAATTTAATTAATTTACTTGTGTGTGTGTGTGTGTGTGTGTGTGTGTAGGGGGTGATTGTCATTAGGAGGAGGACTATGGAGAAGAGAACACGAGCAATTAAGGGATTTCACAACACTGACCAAGCCAGCTGGAATATATTTGCCTCCATGTATTTAACTAAAAAAAATCTATAATTGTATCATGACTGAAGAATATGTTGAGCAACTGGCATACATTTTAGTTATTGGGTTTGAAAAATGATTTGGAGACTAGAACCCAGCACACTAAAACAGAGCTTGGCATTGTTTACTAATTTCTGAATTCTTGTGGCACCGTTGAGGTCTCCAGGTGTTGTGTTGTAACTGTGGGACTTTCCAAATGCCTAACAGGAATATGCACCTGAGCTTGAGTCTGTAGAGCCAAGTAGCGTAAGGATATTTGATTCTGAAATGTAGTCCACGTGGGCTCCAAGACAAAGGCGGTTGATGTTTCCCTTATTTTCTAGATTTAAGCGTAAAATGTAAAAGCAAAATACTGCAAAATAGTTCCATAGTTGTGTCCAGATCTGGTTTGCTATTCAGCTTGTAAAGCAACATTTTGCTCTTAAACTTGTAAACTAATGCTTTTGATTAAGAGTGTAAATCAAGACTAGAAAAGAAAACCCAAAAAGTTGCAAAAGTTTTACTAACTTTTTGATTAAAGCTACAAACCAAGCTAGCTGAAAAGATTTTTTCATGCCAATATTCTAACAATATAGCTATAAAGATATTGTGAAGATTAAAAAATAAACAATAACGTGGTTCTCTTGCATTTGTCTAAAACCTCCATCAATAACACGGCTTGGACCAAAACCAACGATTGGACCATCGGGTTGTCTGCCTCACCTAACTGTCGCACTTCCTTGGGTCCTCCATTCATTACACATTCAGCTTCCAGGCCAGACCGAGGCTCTACTGAGGCCTTTCCACGGAGCTAGCTCTGTGGTCACGTGGGTCTGATGCTCATTAATTATACAGAATTTTAGGCTTTTAATACACTTAAACAGAAGAGTGAGAAAAAAATTCACCCCCCTCAGAGTTGTCATGAGTGTAAACTAGATCATTTAAACCAAAAACATGTTTTGGTACCAGGCTGTAAACATGTTTATTTCTGCTGTGAAATTGGTATTTTTAACATGGGAGTCAATGAGGATTTGCTCGCTTCTGACACCAGCCCCCAGCGGATGAGGGTGGAACTGCAATTTTTGTCACTTCCGCGTTGGCCTTAATTTTTCACCCGCATTGTGGGGGCTTGGTTGGTCCTCAACCCCTCTAGATCCAATAATGGCATAATTAATCTATCCCAATCCGTGCTGATCCGTCAACTCTGTGCTTGATGGAATCCACCTTCTGTGCCAGAGCCTGAATCTCAGCCAAAGTTCCAAGCTTACAACTCATCTCGACAATTATATGAGTTTGTGTGTTCACAGCATGATGCATTCCATCCCTGAGCTCCGGGATTGAGCCAGTATTCCTCAAAAGCTTGTTAATTCTCCGGTAAGCCAGGTAACCGCTCAGGTCAAACAGCAGGAATCCCGACACCAAAACGACGAATATCCAGACATCTTCAGAATTCTCTACAGACGGTTGAGTGAGGCATATCAGGTTCCACTGTTTCCAGGAGTTCATGATATACCCAGCTGGCTCTGTCCCAGAGGGGCATCCGGGAGCCCCTTCTCCCGTTGAGAGACCAACTGACCAGATCCATTTTTAATCATTTCCAGTTTCGAGAAAAAATGCAGAAAGCGCCGTGCACACAAAGACAGGACAAAGAGCCTTGGGATGAGGAGGGAGGGAGAGGATAAAAAAGCGTCTCTACTCTCCAAGAGGCGGAAGAAAGAAAGCCGAAAGAATGTACTGAGAGTTTAGAGTCAAAAGTTGAAGAGTGTATTATTGCATTGACAATGTGTCAGTTGAGGTCATTTATGCGGGAAACCAGGGGAAAAAGGGATCTAATAGTCTGTACCTGGGGTAAAATCAAACATGTCTTTACAGCTTCTAAAACTCAATTTAAAACATTCAAATTATTCAAAGGCAAGAATTAAAATTCACTAATTTAGGAACTAAACGTACTTTGAAGAGAACCTTCTGTCACCTTGCTGTAACAAGGCAGACCCAAGCAGAGTATTAATTTTCAGTGAATTAATGTGATGAATTTGGACCAAATGTTATGCCTTATTTCCTCCCTTTCACTTCCAAATAGGACTTAGCAGCGTCAGCCCATTGTGCTTTTAGCTTGCAGTTCATGCCCATTTGGCTAAACACACCTCAGAGGCATAATGCAATCAGGGGAGCCACATTCCTGTTGCATAGAATGCCCAATATTTGGGGAAATTGGTTTCAGTGCACTCCCATCAAAGCCCTGAAATGAAATATGAAACATTTTATAGCTGTGGTATTTGCAAGAATAATGTGCTAGCCAGGTGAATAATCACAGAGGATGGGAGTGACAAACCAGTGGGTTATGCCATAAATAAAATGGAAATAGGACAGAAGAATTATTATCATCATCTGTAGGAGGGCGTTTTGCTTTCTCGATTTAAAAAATCCTTCCTTGTGTGTCTACATTATAAATTCAAGCTGCAGCGCTCTGGCACGATCAAATGGTCTTCAGGTATATCGCTACTGTGATGGTGAAAGTCCCCAAACGCGAGTTGATGAATGTACTTCACTAATTACTCTGCCTGTATACTGGAGTCAGCTGAAGCAGGCTGTAAAATAGTCTGTAAATTCAGGTTTATTTCAATGGCAACCATGAGTCACTGCTTCATTTTCGTAGTTATATACTAGATAATTACAAGACTGGAAAATGGCTCAAAGAAATTAAATCTTTTCATTTCTTCAGGAGGTTTGACTTCTACCTACCAAGAACCAGTGACAGAGGAGTTAAGTGTCTGCCCTGTAATCGGAAGGTTGCAGGTTCAAGTCCTGCTCAGTCTGTCTTAACCCACCTTGCCTGCTGATGGTGGGTAGAGGGGCTTGTGGTGCCAGTGTTCAGCAGCCTTGCTTCTGTCAGTGTTCCCAGGGTCGCTGTGGCTACACTGTAGCTCATCACCGCCAGGGTGTGAATGTGTGTGTGCATGGATGACTCTAGAAAGCAAGGTATCAAATATAAGCCATTTACCAAGAACCAGATTAGTTATCATTGACTATTTTTAAAGTAAAAACTATGTAATTGAAACACATTTTTTAGAAATCCTATCAAAAATTGTCACATTATTTCAGCCTGTTTCAAAATTATAACAGTGTGGGGCAATTACTGGACAGCTCTTGTATAGAAAAAGAGCCATCTTCTTATTAGTTGTGTTTTACAAAACAATGCCGTCAATTTGTCGCAATGCTGAAGCGGCATCAGGGAGACAGGTCATTTATAAGTGGACAGACTGTAGCAGTAATGTGGCGCAATCGTGTCCTTTTGACAAAAGATCACGCAATGGTGGCATAAAGGGGGTATGGGGGCGGTCTCTGCATTGCCGTGGACTTCCGTTTATCTTGGACATAACTTGCTTTTTATTGTGATTGAATCCCTGCTCATTATGTTTTTTTCTTAACAAGCCACTCCTAAAGGTGACTGTCCTTCACAGTCTCCATGCAGTTTCTGGTAATCTGAGCTCCAGCTGTAACGGTACGAAGCTCCAGGGGTGCTGCATTGTTCCACATTGCTGGTGAAGGTTCTTAGTCATCCAGGTCATGGTAATCCAAAAGGGTTCAAATAAAAGCAACTGGACTCTTTTGGTTTCTTGAAGACATTTTGCCTCTCATCAAAGCTCCTCGAATGAGAAGCAAAACATCTTCAAGAAACCAAAGAAGTCCAGTCGCTTTTATTTGAACCCTTTTGGATTATTCCAGATTATCATTTCAGCTGATTCTGTTTACAAAAGATAACCTTATGGCCCATTTTGACTTTAATTTTCAATATAGGTGCCGACAGTAACTCCCCATGTGATTGTGTACCACCCTCTAGCGTTATACCGCAATAGTACTACCAAGCGAGGCGGAAAGAATGCCACAAAATTTGCGCATCATCATGCCAGGTATGGCGCATTTATAAGACACACTGTTGTAGTAATATTACACTGATTTGCCGGCATGGTGTGTCTTGTAAAAGCAGCTATTGATGTACAAAGTTAATGGAAGTGCTATGGTGCAGATGCAATCTAAATATGGCATCTCAATCAACTTTATCACTGAGTACTCAAGTGCACACCAGGTATTGTGGCACAAACAGTGCACACTAGGAACTAGCTTGTAATGAATGCATTCATTTTTTGGTCAATTTAAAGGGACACCTGGCAATGTTTTAAAATTTTAAATCGTTTTCTTGAGCCAGTATGTGCTATAATGACCCCTTACAGCAGGAATGGCTGGACTTTTCAAGGCGAGGGCCAAAATAGTCATGTTTAAAGTCAATGGGGGGGCCACAAGAATGTGGTTTTCCTTCATAAAAAAATGCATACCTTATTTAATGGTAATTTCTTTTTATTTGCACTCTTCAATAAAATCCAAAATAGGCTACTAAGTAAAAAATCTGCATATACTGACTCAAAAAATTATTTAAAAATATGAAAAAGTTGCAAAGTACCCCTTTAAGCAAGCCAGCCGAACTAAAAACTGTCCAATTCTTGCCATAATTTGATTGCTAGTTGCATCTTTATTGTGTGTGAAAAAAAATCCTTTACCACAGAGAACAAACTAAAATCATTTTTACTTTGGAAGTCAAAGACCCAGAGCTACTGACACTGAGGCTTTGGATTTCCGTAAGCCCTACATCATTCTACAGTTCATTGGGTTTTTTTCTTCCTGTGTTTCCTTTTCCTCAGTTCATTGTATTTTGTTGATTGCTTAATTCAATGGCTCCTTGTGGCTTTCTTTAGATTTTTGTTTATTTCTTGCATTCCCTGCCATATATTTTATATTTTTCTATAGGTAGGTCAGTGTTTGTCTATATTACTCCACACTCATTTTAAAATAGATTTTCATTCTCGGTTTGTGGAAACATCTCCCTCCAAGTCATCCTACTAAAAATGCAGAAATTCCCACACATCAGCTAGGAAGCAGGAAAATCCAGTTTAACAACATCACAATACAGAGGGAGAACATTGTCTGCTTGGCCATAAAATTCACCCAAAATTTCAAATCCAACCTCAAGGGGAACATGCTATTAGCCAATGGAAAAAAAAAAGTAAAAAAAAAACATTTACCTAATCCAGATTAGTTGTGTTTAGGGAAAAGACAATACATTTATGCCCTGATTTAACGATTAACGTCTGAAAACCTAATAAACGCCTGTATTTGCTGTCTTCTACCTTTCATTTTCAAAATGTGTGATGCTTGTTCGATCATCTTGCTGCTTTAGTCTGCATTGGAAGCAAACAACTAAAACTACAACAGAATTGCCTTTATTTCTCCTAAAATCATAATACTTACCTTGTGAACGAGTATCTCTTATTAGGGGTTCTGTGCTTGCTTACTCTCATGTGATCCAGCTCTGAGAGAGAACACTCAACCTCCAGTCTTTTAGAGGTGATGCCAACTTTTTCACCTTCACTTGCAAATCTGATAAGACCGTCTTTAAAAAGATACCGATCTAATTTCTGAGGACTATTCACAGATATCCTCTGTCAGTCATGTTTAAAGAGCCCGTGACATTTTGGAGTAACTACTGCGGAATAGAGGGAAACCAGTTGGCTTACAGAAGTTGGGTAATATACCCCCCCCCCCCCCCCTTCCTCGCTCTGCTGCTTTGTCAAAACAACACATTGATAGGAAACCTATATCAATTTAAGCCTTTGAAATGCCACAGAGGGGCAACTTGAAAAAAGGATGGATTATATGTCCTATTTGAAACTTGCGATTCCACACCACTGACCTGAGCTTTAAAGTGGTGGATGATTTCTAATATCTCCCTCCAAAAATAAAAACAGGGCAGCTCTGTCACACCAAAGAGGTCAAATAAATCAAGTGAATCCAAAGGAGAGGTAATGCCTTCGATGAGGTCCGATTCCCAACCTAGATAAAGCGCGTTGTTGCCAGAGTCAAAAGAAAAGTCCTGTTTCTCATTTTTTTAAAGGTTCTATTCAACTGTGTGTGTGCCTTATCTTCCATCCACAGCCAACTGTATGGCCCAACACTGCCTCGATAGGACAAGTGTAAGATAAACTTGACAGATCAACTTTTTTGATAGTAGCCAAGTCCATAAACAACTGGGGCCTCTAATCTGATAATCCACCAATGAAAGATTAGACGTAGGGGAGTATTATTGTGTTGTCACTCTTGCTTACGGGGTCACATGGGCTTTAACTGCCGGGACTAGACGTCCCTCTGCAAATCCCAAGAAGGTGTCACAACTTGGCAGGTGAGGTGCAATGATAAGACCACCTGGGGGATGTTAAACGAACAAAAAGCAATTATCCAAAGAATTAGTGCAAAATCATCAAAAAGTACTACATCACAGAGGTGATTCAAGAGATTAGCAGAGGGTGTCTATCACCATCAATTTGCATGGGAAGTTATTCTCAAAAAAATTTCTTTAAGGTACGCCTCAGGATAAAACTAATTGTAGTCACGATGCTGGTGGATGTCTACCCATGGAATACATCACGTTAACTGTTCAATAAATGATATTACCTCATCTGACGATATCTTCCTGTGTTCATCACAGTTTGCAACCCTGCATCTCAGTATATTTCTGAACCTAACATTAACCATCCTAACAGCTCCTGCATATGCACACTGCTATCTCACGAGGAGAGCCACAGAGTCTAAGTAATTCAAACATTCTTCAAACTGCAATTTATTTTCCGAGTTGTAATTATGGTCTATTAAAATGCAAATGATGTCAATGGCAGAGCAGCGCTAATCACTCAATGTCTGTTTCTGGGCAGTACAGCCACACTGGAGAGAGACTCACATTGTGGAATCGGAGATGAACAGAGATCTTCTATCTGGGAAGGATCCAATAAATTCAAGTCTCTCGTCATTCCTTTTCTCAAGTAATACGAACCATTTTAATAGTAAAATTCAAGCTAAATGCAATAGTTTATGGTGAGTTTAGATTATATAGACATATAGTCTGTAAAAATATACCAAACATTGCTGTCTTTTAATTTTTTAAGGCATACTATGTTTTACAGTCATATGCTATGATGAAGACCCCCCACACACAACACCACCACCCTTGCAAAATAGTATATTTTGAGTGTGTATTAATTAATTAGAGGAAAAGATCATATTCAAGCATATAATAGCTAGGTAGTAATTGCATGACCAAACAAGAGTTCAAATCACTCCTTTTCTTTACATAAAAAATGATCAAGGTGTGGCCCAGGGGTCATTTGAGGCCCTCGGACTGATTTTGAGAGGATGTCTCTCCGCTTGCCAGGGAACACCTTGGGATTCCCCCAGGAGAGCTGACCCAAGTGGCTGGGGAGAGGGAAGTCTGGGTGTCTTGGCTTTGGCTGCTGCCCCCAAGACCTGACCCCAGATAAGTGGACAATATTAGATAGATGGATGCTTTTAATGACATCATCATCTTGCAGACTTTCCAAATGAAATGATTGATATTAATTCTAAATTAATGTTCTAATCCCTCAAAATGAGTTGATTCATTGTCTTGTAAAAAGCTAGTGTAGACCTGCATGTTTAACCACGGGTAGGAGTGGGCCATGCATATCAATTAACACATATTTTCTTGTTGTGGTTCACATAAATGAAACACTGACAAAAGCCTGTAATTTTTAAGATGAATGTGATGGCCACAAATTATGCTTTTTAAGCTTGTAAACTTCATCACCTTGCTATATCCCTGAGTGGGTAATGTTTGCACATGTGCAGTTTCCTATTAATTTCTGTATTCATTTTGTTGAGTTCCATGGGGATTAAGGCTTATCTACAGGAATGTTTACCATGCACACTGACAAAAACCTCATGCCCCACTTATCAGAAGGTTATGCTGATGACAAGACAGGGTGTGATTAACCTGCAGAGACCTGCGCTTTTGTTTGATGAGCATATTTAATATCCCCTAGCTTTTTGGGATTGGCAGTATATCATAAACATAAAGCAAAACATTTTTTTTGAAAAGTTAGGGG